ACCAACTGAAAATATTAGGTGTGTCCCGCGCGCTCATATGACCATATGCAGTTGCGAGCGTCGTAAAACACTTTACAAAAACAAAGTCTGCCTGCAAAACAGCACGCTTTCCTTTTTTCCTCTATCTGTGATTGGTCCATTTTTTTCACTCGTTTCTCAACCCTTTGATTTTTGCCTTTCGTCTGCTTTACTGCCTGTAAACAGGTACTCACATTCCTCTCAGCCATGTATCATGTCTCTCTAACTTTCATTTTTTTTAGGCTTTGGGTGTTAACATTGATTATGGGTGTTTGAAGACTACAGAATTATTTGTTTCTTTTCTTTATACATATTTCCCTGTCTCTGAAAATAATTACGGCGGAAAACACACAGGCATCTACTTCAAATGGCCTATTTTGACAGTTTTTCAAAATGAATGCACAGTATTGAATATGGTATCAAAATTTAGCTCAAACCCTGTACATTTCAGAAATGTTCGTCTCATGAGCAACAGCTGTCTCGTTATGTAATAAAGGGCCGGTAATCACAGGTATCAGGTGTAAACGTTTAATTAACAAAAGTTCAATTTACTCACTTAAAAGTGATTTCAATTTCTTATCTCTGCAATAATGTCTTCCCATACTGAAAGCAGGACCCATCCTGATATACTCGTAGCATATATAAGCAAAAACAAGCTCAAAATTCAAGAATTTATGAAAAGGGGAGACAATTAAATGAAGCCGACTAATGCACGGTTTACACAAAAATATTTATTTCACCAATTAAATGAGAGAATGTGAGGTAAAAAAATGGAAAAATGAAAATGGCCTTGTGGTCTAATGCCTCTTGTGAGGACTTTTGTAATTGTCCAGGTGAAGAAGTCTGTTGATCCCTTATTTGTGATTAGACCAACATCGTTGCTCTTGGAAAAGACGTCGCAGGGGCTGCTCTTTTCCATAAATCTTTCACTGAAGTCATCCTCCTCGAGCATTTTAACCTTAACCTACAGAAAAAAAATGAAATAACACACCTTGAGAAATAAAGAACTTAGTTGGGAAAAGCAGCAATTATTTGTAATAAATATTATGGATCTGATTCGTTAAATTTCAATCGGAACTAACAATTTTAGCCGTTCACTAACCACGGCAGAATATGTCCACCCTTGCCTCTTTTTTTCCCCCAGTAAGTAGTAGATGTTCTATGATTTTTAAAAATGTCAATTGAATGTATCACTCCTACATTTGTCTCTTTCTTATTGTATTTTAATTAGTGAGTCCCTTGTAGGCCTTCTTTCTCGTGTTCTGCACAACCTTATTTGATTTCTTTTCCACATAATATAAAACAGTAGTCTCCTAAACAAACATCTTTCTGTTGTGTTTAGACTACTCTTTGTTCACTATCTTTGGTAACTGACAACTTATATCGATGGAATAGCCATTCAGAAGGTTTGACCAGTTCCAAGGATTGTGAAGTTAAATCAAAGAGGCCTGGAGACACACATGGCTATATATACTGACTTTAAATCATCACATCTTCTGGAATCTCATCATTGTCAAATAAATAATCATTGTCTTATGCATCCTGTCTGTATTTGAGTGCGCCCC